TTTGAACTAGATTCTATTTCTGGACCCTCACAAGTTTTTAAAATGTCTTCCCAATTCCTAGTACTAATTATTGCAGATTTCCTCTTCTTTTGCTTAACAAACTGTTTAAGATAATTGTAGGTTTTTCTTATTCTTATGCCTGCATCAAAATCTTTAAGGTTTCTGAAAAATTTCATAATTTCCTTTTCATTATGTTCATTGACTGCTTGCTGATATTCTTGTCTACGATTTCCAACTCTGTACTTATAATTCTGCATATCTGGGTGTTTATGAGAAACCTTTATCGCCACTCTTAGATTGTCTAAGGCTTTTCTTCTACGTGGTGTGTTGGGAATTCTAGAAATCTTAATGGTTTTATGAGCAGCTATTCTCATTCTACTAGCTAGTTCTTCATAGCATTTATCTATTGTGTCTTTTTTAACTCATGAACTAGAGCACATGTGCCAAAACTGGAGCACATGTGTCAAAACTAGCATCATTGCCCTGCATTTTTTTAATTCTGAATTTACATCACTCAAATTAAACATCATTCGATTACCTAGGGGAAATGGATGTAATGTCGGCCTAAATGCTCCTAAGTTGGGCCCATACATAAATTCAGCAATCGACTCAAATTCCAAAAGCGATCAAAATTATCCATTAGTACCATCTCAATGACGCGTTCATCTGGATAAAATTGATAAATAGCGATGGGCCAATCTTAGATCCATAGACCAACATGGGCTAAAAAATGGTGAGTGACAATCTGGAAGGAGCGATATACCTAGCTCCGGTCCTCACAAGTTCCTACCTCACGACTCCACGAGTCATATGATCACAAAAGACTGCCAGCTGAAACATGGACACAGCTGGTTGGCGTAGCCTGGGCAATGTTGTCAATCCGACAATAGCAGAGTGAGGAGGTGCGACGCGAACACTGGCGCGGTAACCATAGCACGGTGATAGAGGAAATGCTTCGCCAACCCAAACGTCTGTTCATCATGGAGGTGCGGCTCAAACAGCGTCTGACTGGCATCCAGCGGCTGAATAAGAAATGCTCTTCCCCGGAACCTACACCTAAGATGGCAGCCCCATCACGGCGGATAGGAGACCTTAGGCCAACCACCTACTGTCTCTGAAACCTTTACAATTGTTACAGAAACCAACAGAGAAAGACATTGAACTGATATAACGGCAACGACTTTTAGCGCAAAACAACGGACACGAATTGGATCATGGAATGTATGGACGTTAGCCCAGCAGGGTAAACTGGCACAACTCGCCAACGAGGCGCGACGCATAAAGCTAGAAATCCTGGGACTGAGTGAAGTTCGTTGGCCAAACTTTGGAGAACACAAACTGCCGTCGGGACAGGTACTACTATACTCTGGTATTCGAGGTGAAAACGCTCCCCGCCATCGTGGAGTTGGTCTCCTACTTAGCGTCCAGGCAAGTGCTGCGCTCATCAAGTGGGAGCCTGTTAATGAGAGGATAATCGTTGCCAGATTTAGAACACGGGTTCGTAACCTTACCATAATCCAATGTTATGCGCCAACCGATGCTGCCGAGCTACAGGACAAGGAGAATTTTTACAGTCAACTGAAATCCGTCGTGGATAATGTTCCAAAGGGTGACATCAAGATCTACACTGGCGACTTCAATGCGAAGATCGGCACCGACAACACGGACTATGAGCGTGTCATGGGACGCCATGGTCTCGGCGAAATGAGCGAGAACGGTGAGCTGTTTGCAGAATTTTGTGGCAATAACGACATGGTGATCGGGGGCTCGCTCCACAAAGTCACGTGGGTTTCCCGTGATGGACATACCGAGAATCAGATCGAGCCTTCTTGATATCCGGAATAAACGCAGCGCCGACATCGCGTCTGACCATCACCTTTTAAACGGTGAAATCTGCCTACGCATGGCGCGGATCCAGCGACGGGAGGAGAGACTCGGGTGGTGGTTCAACACACGCCGACTTGAAGATCCAGCGGTAAAAAGGTCTTTTGTTCATGAACTTGAGACTCGAGCTGCGGACGTTCCAGAAGGTGGCAGTGTAGAAGAACAATGGACGGCCATCAAGAATGCCTTTATAGAAACAAGCGAGAACAACTTGGGTGAGCTGCGCACCCAGAGGAAAGAGTGGATCACAGATGAAACCTGGCGGAAGATTGAGGAGCGTAGAGAAGCAAAAGCCGCGATAGAGCGGGCGAGAACCAGAGGAGCCAAGAACGAAGCCCGTCAACGGTACTCGGCTCTAGAGAAGGAAGTCAAGCGCTCTTGCAGACGGGACAAGCGAGCGTGGGTGAACTCCCTGGCCGACGAAGGGGAGAAAGCCGCAAACACTGGCGATATACGCCTCCTCTACGATATCTCACGACGCCTGAGTGGAGCATGGATGAACCCGAGGATGCCAGTGAAGGACACTACTGGACAATTGCTTACCGACCCCACTGACCAGCTGAAACGCTGGTTTGAGCACTTCGAACAACTTCTTCAAGTTTCGACGGCATCAACATCTCGTCAATTCCGAGGCCCCATCACTGCATGAGATTGAAGCAGCTATCCGAAGCATGAAATCCAACAAGGCTCCAGGGGTCGATCGCATATCAGCAGAGATGCTCAAAGCTGACCACATGTTATCCGCACAAATGTTGCATCAACTATTCTGTAATATCTGGGACACCGCGACTTTTCCGGCCGACTGGATGCAGGGCATCTTAGTGAAGGTCCCAAAGAAGGGGGATCTGACTGTGTGCGACAATTGGCGAGGCATCATGTGTATTGTTCTCAAAGTTCTGTGCAAAGTTATCCTGAATCGGATACAGGAGAAGATCGACACGACTCTCCCACGGCAGCAGGCAAGATTCCGTGCCGGAAGATCTTATGTGGACCATATTGTCACGCTCCGCATCATCCTGGAGCAGGTCAATGATTTCCAAGAGTCCCTTTAATTGGTATTCATTGATTACGAAAAAGCTTTCGACCGTCTCAATCACGAGAATCTGTGGGGCGCCCTGAGACGCAAGGAAGTCCCTGATAAAATCGTCAACCTCATCGAAGCGCAGTATGAGGCTTTCACGTGCAGAGTTCATAACGGAGCATAACGGAGCCTTGTCCGACCCTATCCGGGTAGTCGCTGGTGTGAGACAAGGATGTATACTATCACCGCTACTGTTTCTTATCGTAATCGACGAGATCATGGTAGGTGCAATTGACCGTGTACCGAACCGTGGGCTGCTTTGGCAGCCTATCACCATGGAGCATCTCAACGACTTCGATTTGGCTGATGATGTTGCTCTACTAGCACAACGGCGCTCTGATATGCAGAGTAAGCTCAATGACCTAGCCGAACGCTCCTCTGCGGCGGGTCTCACCATCAACGTCAACAAGACCAAATCGTTGGATATCAACACGGGCAACCCTTCCAACTTTACGGTAGCGGGACAAGCAGTGGAGAAGGTTGAAAGTTTCCAATATCTTGGCAGCCAAATAGCGTCGGACGGCGGGACCAAGAGCGACATAGGTGCACGAATCAAGAAGGCTAGGGCTGCCTTTGCGAGTTTACGAAACGTATGGAGATCCAACCAGATAAGTCAACGCACCAAAATCCGAATTTTCAACTCGAACGTGAAATCTGTGTTGTTATACGCCAGCGAGACGTGGTGTGTATCAGCGGAGAACACTCAAAAGCTGCAGGTCATCATCAACCGATGCCTGCGGTATATAATTCGTGCCTGGTGGCCTCACAACTGGATCTCGAATGCCGAGCTCCATCGTCGATGTCATCAGAAGCCGATAGCAACAGAAATTCGAGAGCGAAAGTGGAGGTGGGTCGGCCACACACTTTGACGGGGCGGAAACGAAATCTGCAAGCAAGCGCTGGATTGGAATCCAGCAGGACATCGCAGCAGAGGCAGACCCAGGGGCTCATGGCGGCGGAGCCTCAATAAGGAAATTAAGCAAGTCGATAGAAATCTGACCTGGGCCCAGGTCAAGGCAAAAGCGAGCAGCCGCCCAGGATGGAAGTCTTTCACGTTGGCCCTTTGCATCGCTGGTGGTGCACAGGACCCTTAAAGAAAAAAAATAGACCAACATTAGAGCCATTTCCCCTATGACAAAAATGGGTAATGTGATAAGAATTATATTGCACCTTTTTATTATTATTATTATTATTATTATTATAGTCACTATAACACTTTTGGGTCATTCGTGACTTGTCCGGGGGTGAGATTTGAACTCGTGACTTTGGCGTGAGAGGTATGGATGCTAACCACTACGCCGGGGTCGCTCCCGATATTGTATCCTGATTATGTACGAATTTAAAATGGTACAGTAATGCTCAGAATCTGATTCGTCAATCCAGACATTTAATGTTTAATAAATTATTACGTCTACTCTGCAACATAATAAACATGTAGGGTGATTCTGAACGATGCAATCAGATCATGTGGAAATTTTCGTGCTATTTTGAGAAAGGCAGGCAATGATAATCAACTTTCAAAAGCATTCGGACTTAAGGATTAAGTGCTCGGATTTTGGTGCTTTACAGGTTTAGAAAGCATCCTAAGTATTCACATAATTAGAAGCATTCAAAAAAGCCTTATGTTGGAAGCAATAACAACTAGACTCTTTAGATTTAATTTATTTCTGAAACCATATCAGTGAGTCATTCTACGGTATGAACATCCTTTCGTCGGTTGTCTAGTCTCACATGTCCTCAATTATAGCTACATATTATCAATCGTTATTCTACACCGAGCAGTCAGTTTGAACGGACGCGGTCGTGTCTTCGCGGAACAATGACAATCAAATAACTAGAAATCAACCGGTGATTTTATTTGAAATTACAACAACTAAAGGACTTGCAAACTGATCAAATATAGCAAGTGAAGTTGCCAATCTGTTTTACTAATAAAGTATATTTAGACCTGAAAGTATATAAATTGTATTTAGTATAGTTGAGCCAATGTGTATCAAAAGCATCGAAAAGTCAAAATGATTTCGTTTGTAGCATGGTTAATAAACACAAAAGTGAACACGGTAGCATCTACAGGTTATAACTGTGAATAGGTATCGGTTCATCATTTATTTAGAATCAAATAAAATCGATAAAATGTCATACGTGTACCACATATCGTGTCCAGCAATGAGTGAGCGTGATGACCGATGAAAACCGTAAGAAGTGCCCTACGGTGTCCTATGCACCATCGTTATGTGACATTAAACATCACAATTCTGTAAGTGTGCCGTATCTACATCACTTTGATGGTAATGCCTGCGAGTTCTGCGTTCTGAGCGAGGTAATAAATTGTGTCCTCCACCCTCACAGCCCTGTTGAAGCGTGAGAAAATGGTGTCGTCCTAGTGGTAATTACAGAACGGGTACTGAACAAGTTTTAGCTGGCAATTTAAGTGTTATTATGGGAGAGACCCCGAGTGTGCCACATGGTTTATGCACCGTTCTACTATAAGCTCCAATGTAACGAAGGAATAAAAATTGCATCTATGAAGAAAACATGGAAAGCACATATGATAAAGCGATCGATATGAATAAATTTTAAATACGTTAGCAGCGCTAACGTCGAGTTGTGTAACCGATTTGCAAGGCTGTAGCCAATGTAAAGGGTCCTAGATAATGAAGCAATTTGAATACAGGAATTAGTGAACTATAACTAAGTGTATATATCAGTTATGTGATCCGTAATCATAATAGAATGAATGACGCAAATCAAGTACCTCCCAGTAATAGTAGTGCTAGTGAATCCGTAAATTGTTGTGTTCTAGTAAAAATAACTCCAAGCCAAGACGGTGAAAGCGTTCAAACGGCAAGCACTACCATATCACCTGACGAGAAGTGGTCTAGTGATTTGAAACCAACCCGAAATGGCAGTCTGCCGGAAAGCATACTATATCAAAGCTCTCTCAACGTGATACTGCCAAATTTCATCGAACATGAACAACGAGCCAGTTCACCATTTATTGAAGCGCGCCAAAAGCACCCGAGAACAACACATTCAAGTCCCGTGAAAACATCCAGAAGATTTAGCCAGGATGCACATGCTTTTATGACGGGTGTTCGAAGTATCAGCGAAAATAATGAGGTTAGCGTATAAATTTTGTCGTACATAAACGTGTAATAGGATATGATAATACAGTCAACTGTCAATTTTCTATGCATCGATATTCCTCTTTATCTAAATGATTTGAACAGTCCCTTCAGATTCCCATACATCCAATTGGACGAATCATGATAAACAAATACACTTTTTAAACATGATTCAGAAGTGCTTCTAGAATCTTGCTAGTAGGCCAATAAATTACTGTTGATAATACCGATCTCTACCGATTCCGATGGTTTTTTTTTCAATATCGGAAATGGAAAGTTCACTGTAGTTCTGAAAAATTAAATCAATTGATTTGCTAATTTCTAAAAACGCAATGGGGAAATTTGTCTTCTATAGACCCTTCGCCTGTAGTAGACCCTTCGCCACTTACGAAATAAAGCAATTTTATTAAAAAAGTGGCGATTTACAGGTGAATTCTATCAAAAACACCTTTTCCACATCTGTCACATCAGATTCATAAAAAAATGGGTCAAGTACTATTTAAAACCATGCAAAATTAACATTCCCTTATTTCAGATAAACAAAGGCTCCAAAACATAACAGGAAATTGTATTGCTTCCTTTAGTCACCAACATGATTATGTTTATAATATGATTGATTATAATATTATATAATCTGATTATAACGATTATAATATAATTCAGATTATAACTTTACGATAGAGGGGAAATGGCTCTAATGGGAAATGACTCGCTATTGAAAATTTAGTCGATTGCTGAATTTATGTATGGACCCAATTTAGGGGCACTTAGGCCGACATTACATCCATTTCCCCTATGATATTGTAAATAAAATTGCTGACCACGTGCTATTTAGAGTGGAGTACAACATTTACACCCCTTCTCGAGACGTGGAGTAAAAAGGTGGGGTCTCCGATACGAGTTGAAGATCTGCCTCAGAAACTCCAATTTTTTTTCTATATACTTGGCACCAACATTCAAAATAAATTCAAGAAAGTATAAAAGTCTCTCTGCATTCAGACTCATTTTGGGTGACCATCGCAGGTTCAGTTCTCCCAAACTTTGTTAAACTTGATGGTGGCTTTTTCCCGATGCGATTGTTTGTACCGAGAGTATAAAATTGAACCAACTGCGAAAATCTGGGACACTCGGCATAGGCGTTAGGCATAATGGACGTTAGGCAAGCGTGGATCTGAAAATCCAGCTTACATTGTCAATATCAGAGCCTTCATGAACATCTAGGTTTTGATATACTTTTTTTTTTAACTGTAAAAAAAAAGTAAAATAAAAAGAAAAAAACTCAGCATACATTTATCAATTATTGGCTCAGTATTGGGCATATTGGGTTGAGTTTACAAAAATTGAGAGAAATTAAAAAAAAACGCCTTTTCTTGAAAAACCTTAATATTTCGAAATGAAATGAACATAACTTCTTGAAATTTTTCTCATTTTTAGTCGTAATAAAGATCATTCATGTGTCACTAATTGAACTAAATTTTGTCCACTAGGTAAAAAGGTGAATATCAAGCGTTTTACTAAAATAAATCTAACTTCATACAGGCAAAGATCAAAACTATAGCAATAAATCAATAAACATATGTTCAACCACCAGCCACGATTACATATATATATAAATATATATATATATATATATGTATCTATTCATAATGTTTCAAAAAATTGCTATCAATTTTGAGATACACTGTATGTTGGATCGATAAGTGTCAATAGGTATATCTGAGGATCCAGTTCCCCCATTAATACATTAACAGAAATAATTGAAAAATTTAGTTATAAATTTTAGCAGAGTATGGTTGTTGGTGCATACTATGAAGACAGGCCGATTTTTGTTTCCATTGTATACTATAGGAATAGTATAGGAACTTTCAACAAACACCAACACCTTCCACTATCCTTAAACTATCTACGTAGTTCATGGATAGCTTCAATCTACAAATATTCACAAATTTTGATAACTTTTTAAGTCCAAGCTTTTAAAGCTCTTCAAAGCCCAGGAGTAATACTTTTATGAATCATGATGAATGTGGGCGTCTTAATGGAATACCTGTATAAAGAGGGAGAGAGAAAGATTAGCAATTTCCATTTAATTTCACACTACCTTATTTGCTTATCCTTGACAGATACGCATATTTCGTCTCCAATGTGCAGTCTTCTTCAGTGTCTTTTAGTTTTTACTGAGTAGTTTAGTTTAATATATTGAAATGAATTTAAAATCTAAAATACAGAATTGAAAGACTTCGAATCCTGCTCCCTTTATGAACATCCCTATTCTCTTATTCCCACCCTATATAAACTTTCCACTTCCATCATGCATTACTACCAGCAATAACAGGTAACCACAACATAAAACTTTTTTTTTTTTCAATGTTTGTTTTCAAGATGAATAGAAATAATTTCATGTTTTAGGATTAATTAAATATTTTTATCGTAAACCACATTACAAACCTCCTTCTTCCCTTTTCCCATCCAAAAAATTGTAAATCTCCACTAACCTCGAGACAACCGCGAGTACTCGGTCCAGTTCCCTAGGGGCACGCAATAACTTTTAACTCCAACGCAGGCAACGGCGGTAATTAAATTAATTACATTCACTACTGCTTTAATTACATTAATTACACAATGTAGAACATTAACTACTTTTTAACTCCATTGATAACAGTTGAAATTTCGTAATTAAAGTACATTAATTACATTTTCAATACTTTTCAATACATTAATAACGGATAGATAATTTTAATTACCGTCAGTACTACTTCAAAACGCATTAATTACATTAAGTACTTTTGATTGCATTTTAACTTCAACGCACTGGTTCTTTGTATTTGTACGCCAGTTCCTTTAACTTTAAATATAAGACAGTAATAATGTATAACGGAAAAGATAACTCGACTCTGTAAAGTTTATTTGATTGAGCCTGTACAAATAAAGTAATTATTAATAAAAAATAAAAAAATAAACAAACAACATAAAACGTCAGAGAGCGTGTGGTACACAGCAAAAAAAATGTAATATCGATCAATGTAATTCAATCTGATGTATGAAATAATGATGTAATAGCAAAAAGCAGATACAATATTACATCAATGGATGTAATTTTGTTCGCAAAATCGATGTACATCGTACAACGTTATATTACACAACCGATGGATTGACCTGGTTGCAGCAGTAATATTCAACAACTTTTTTTTCTGTGTAGAGACGATCGCCATCGAAGCCGTCAAAACATGATCCGAGCAAAAAAGTAGTACTCGTAATAATGGTATATAATGCTGAATTTTATCGTGCTTTGTTTCGAAAATATCTTCCAAATAAACAAACATCATCCAAATCACCCGATTCGCCAACCGACTAAATCTATTGCCACTTGTAATTAATTTTAGTTGGTGTATTAATCAGCAGATTAAATCGTTTTTCGTTTGATGATATACCGAGCAATCGGCCTATTTAATAGTTTTTCGTCGATGGATTTAGTCGGCCGACTTCGTCTTCTGTTTAATCGGCAGATGATTTCAAACCTTAACATGTTTTCTGTACTTTATAAGTCTTATAGTAGCTTTTTATTTAGGGACAATGCATTACAAAATAGTTTTATGCATTTTGTACAAGATTAATCCATTCTAAAAAGAAATTTGCATGAAATTACATTGAAATTAATCAATTTTGAAAACAATCTATGACATTATCAAGGGCTGTCACAAACTTATCACCGTCGGTTAGTGCTTATTCCTGCCACCTGGCGCGCAGGAGTTTAAGTTGGATTTCTCAATTAGGTGAACGAATTTTACGACTAAAAGTTCAGCGTTTTTATTTACGAAGAAAAAATATTATTTTAGTTATATTTTACGCTCTTTACTGAACAAAAAATTGTGTGTCCGGTGCGCCGCAAGAAGAGGCCAATCAACGCCATCGGTGAAGTTCCGGTAATGCCATAGAAGTAACTCTAAGACCAGAAGGTCCCGACGAAACGTGCTCAACTTTTTGGCTCATCTCTGGTACTCTCTTCAGTCCCAAGCTAATCGGGACTGATTAGCTCTCGAAACATAGGAAAATCCACGAGGCCCTCATTTTATCTGTCAAACTTTCATAACGAATCAAAACAAACATAGTGTAGTACTAGAATTTTGACTAGAATGGGGTACGTTAATCGCTTTGCTTGGGACCAAATTGTATTGATTGTTGGTAATACTGCGCGTCCATTGCACCGCAAGAAAAGGCTCCAGAAGAAAATCAACGCCATCGGTGAAGTGCCGTATTCAAGTAACCAAAAGTTATGATAAAATGCTATTTGTGGCTTAAGCAGCTTGGTTGAAGGTTGTCTATAGAATTCTAAGCAGCCTCATTTTTAAGTCGTTATAGAATTTTGAAAGTACCGGTACCATAATTGAAGAGCATTCTAAGCAGCTTCTGGCGGAACTTGAACGGAACTTTTAGAAAATAAATTAAAAAAGTTTTTTGTCCTCCACACCATTTCTATATTTAGTTCGCACTTTTGTGAAAGTTATTTCTAAAGGCAGGAAAATTAATGAGTATTGATTTATCAGCATTAGTAACAAAATTGGAGCTGTTAGAAGAATTAAACCCAGTCCTCCTGCGTGAGAGCTCCAGCATGAACCGCTACGTCATCTGAGATATAACAAAGTGAGCTGTTGTCTCGCCTACTGTTGAAGTTTTCAGTGCCAGCTGACTGACTTGAATATGAAACACAACACCTTGATGAATTAAATTGGTGTTTGCGCGCATGGTATTCCAACACACTTGTGGCGCAGTGATTAGCAATCGTAAATCGCATGCCGAATACACGGGTTCGAATCCAGGAAATTACCAATTTTTTTTTATTATGTTTGGATAGAATGTTGATGCACTGCATAATTATAAGAATTATGATTTATTCGGGTCACTGATCATTTCATATTTACGTACATTAAATTTTGTTACTAATAAAGACTTGTGCGGATCGCTTCACGTGGCTTGAAAGTTCTGTCGGAACTTTATTTG